TGAAAGAGGATGGATGGGTTAAATGGAACATCAATCTCGTCAGAGCAGCATCAAGACAGTAGATTTATAATTGATAACTGGAAAATCAACGGAAATTATGAATTCTTCACAATTTAATTCATTCAAATAAAATTCAATATTTATTTACACGAAATTACAAAAGATTCTCTTTTCTATTGCGGGCCAATCTTCAAATTAATTGTAAATTAATATCTATTATTTTTTGATTCCTCTACCATAATCTTGAGGGATGTTTATTAAATAATTTTGCTGGAAGATGGCCACAGCGCAATTGCACAAATAAAATGTGGATTATCTATTCCCATAGAATAATCGGTACTAAAATTTATTGTTATGCTTAATGAATATAATATATACTATTTTAGAAAACTATATAAAGAAACATCTATGTGTACAATTTGCTTCGTTTTTTATCACTTAGGTTACTTGTCATTGTATGTCACTTCGATTGTTTAGTTTAGTTTTGTTACAATATTGGAATTCATTCGACAGTTGCAGTTACATATTTTTCATACGCAGTGATTTATTTTGTTTATCTATACAAAGTGCTTGATTTTTGTAGTGAAGTGATGAGGAACTTGTGCTGAATCCCAAATTGCTGAAGATTATTTTTATTCACAGACTGTCAGGTAATATTATTGTTAATATTTATCTCGAATTTTTTTCAGTATATTGTAGGTGCGAATACATAATCCAAAATAAATCAAGTATTTGTTTCAAAATTCTCTGAAGAATGATCAATTTTTCAATGAAATTTGGACTAATGGAAAATACTCCACGACCTTGAAACGATTGTAGTGATTTCAAGACACCAAATATTTCTAGAAGCTCTTGGTTTAGGACCGCGTGTTGAGAAATTCTCAAAATTCTCAATTCATAATTTTATTTGACTATTTACCTTTTAATGTATCAACTCCTGTTTCAGACTCGGGCTCTGTTCATTATCATTTCACTACTCAATTAATTAACGAAACAGATTATAAATTTTTGATACCGAGGAATTACACTGAAGGGATGGAATACAAAATTGTTCGAAATAAGTGAAAATTTTTATACAATTACAGACTACATTCTTAAAAGTTTAGTTTTGAGCAAGAATATTCTTTAATAAGTTGTTCATTAAAAAAGACTATCACTGTGTTGAAATGAATAATTCAAGATTCTGGAATGTCATGAGATGTGAGGAAATGAATAATGGTGAATGTACAAAAGAAAATAAATGCTGGTCAGGTTTCACCTCATCATGACACGACAAACAAAGATGAATTCTCAAAATTCACGCGTATTGCCTGGTAAATATCAAATAAACTGGAAAATGAGGAAAAAATAAGAAAGGATTGCTTTGTTATAAAATAGTGTT